CGATTCTCTCCGGCCAATCCGTGATCAGCAGAGTTTACACTTCACGTTTTGGAAACGGTACGGTTCACTTGGAACCCCAACCGAGGTGGTACTAAAAACAGTACCAGGTACTGTACCCAGTGGAAAACCCCCAAAAAGTGAACCGTACCGTACCGTGCTGTACCATGCAGTGGAAAAGCACCACTAGTGTTGTTTGTTTTGACACATGAGGCTGAGCGGGAGAATTCAGATGCAGATTTAAATGCAACCGACAGAAAGTGCCGATCACATAGTTTTCTATTAAATTACATTATATTTGTCCCAAATCATTGTTAATGTACATAATGACTTCACCCTATGCTGTAAAATTGTGTATTGTGCATTTTTCAGTGAATCGTTTGTCTTTCTGTGGCTCTCATAAAGTATGCTTCATTTATTGAGCTATAGATCATGCTTTCTCTTTCCATTTGCTCTGTTTATTTAAACACCGAACTTCAAACTCATATATGCCACATTGTTCATTATTGCAGTGAACCCTTGCCCATTTGGGGATTTAAATAAACTTAGACTGCCGCTTGAACTGAACGTGACGCATCCGGTTTGTGTAATACCTGCAAGTTCTCCTAGACGTGGGCAGCCCTGTGCTATTGGATAATTAGATAATTATCGTGTTCTAAATCAGAAGCATATAAAGTGTGCGATTATGGTCCGTGTACTTTTGTGTCCATTCATTTTACATTTTTTTAACCAAGTAGTGAAATACGGAAAATGCGATTGTTTCTTTAATGGTTCAAACACTGATGAATAGAATAAGCAGACACAAACAAATTTAAATTTTTCAAAATTCGTAAGAACAATCATTTTAAGCATATTGTATGCATTATAAACATTGAAATAAGCATGTTTTTTTTCATGATGTTAATGCACCCTCACTAATTTCAGAAGCACCCTCAGTGATTTGATTCTGGAACCAGGCCTGCCTGTACCAGGAGATTATATTTTTAAATATTTCTAAAATATGTTTATATATTTACCACGTATATATTAAAGCCTCCTGTGCATAGCACATTAACACGATGTACTGTATGCTTTAACCAACCGCTTGGTGCTCTCCAATACCTTGACCCAGATAGCACACAAAATTATGACGAAATGATGCCACAATATATAATTTCATGATGATAAAGTTTCCAGGAATCTGCCATGTCTATTTTAAAATCATATTTGTCTGTGTCTGCATTAGTCCAGAGATGTGGGAAAAGCATTACTTTTTAAATTTGGCCAAAGAAAACATAAAATTGAAAAAAAATTCTACATTTCTATATTTTCTATATTAATTTGTGCATCAAATCTTTGTTAAAGGTGCAAAAAGTCATAAACAAAAATCAGAAAAAGTCAATTTTTTACTTTTTTGGGCAGCATTTTGTGTGTACGGTTTAAATTTACATTGCTCTAGTTCTCAACAGAACATGTGGGAAAAGCATTACTTTTTAAATTTGGCCAAAGAAAACATAAAATTGAAAAAAAATTCTACATTTCTATATTTTCTATATTTGTGCATCAAATCTTTGTTAAAGGTGCAAAAAGTCATAAACAAAAATCAGAAAAAGTCAATTTTTTACTTTTTTGGGCAGCATTTTGTGTGTACGGTTTAAATTTACATTTTTGTTTTCAGCATAGCATTTAAAGGCTTAGTTCACCCAAAAATGAGAATTCTGTCATGTCGTTCCAAACCCGTAAGACCTTCGTTCATCTTCGGACTATTTTACCGATGTTCTTGCTATGTTTCTGGACCTGGGAACATTGCAGTTGTGTTGCTGTCTATGGAGAGTCTGGGAACTCTTGGATTCAATCAAAAATATCTTAATTTGTGTTCCGAAGATGAACGAAGGTCTTACGGGTTTGGAACGACATAAGGGTGTGTAATTAATGACAGAATTTTAATTTTTGGGTGAACTAACCCTTTAAAAATACAATAATCATTTTTTTTTCGTCATGGTTAAAAAAACGAAAAATGAATGCATGCAAAAGTTCACAGACCAAGTATACATACAATATCCGTATTTCATTTTAATGCTTTTGCCTTTGTGTAGATATAAAGATGCCCATCTTTAAGCATGACTTTTGAAATGAAATAGTAACACTTTACAATAAGAGCCCATTTTGAACATTAAGATGTAGAAGTATTGTTCCCTGTTAGAGTGTATTCATTTCAACATTTACTATTACTAATACATTTTTAAATTTTAAAGTTTCTTCTGCTAACAATAGTCATTAAACGATGAACTAACTTTAATGATCAATATAATAATTAATATTTAAATTTGTATTCATTTACAAAGTATGGGTCAGTACTGTTTTTTTTTGTTTTATAGTAAAGCACTATTTTTGTTTTCGTTCAGTTTAAAAACTATCAGTTGATTAATCGGCATTGGCCAGTGCAGTCCAACCTAACTATCGGCATCAGTAAAATCCATTGGTCGACCTCTAGCTTTTCTGCCTTGTTTTCTTTTTCTCACACAACGTAAAATGTAAGCCTATCAGATGTAGGAAACATGCAGAAACAAGGTTGTGTTGTTGAGATGAATGTCAGCCTGGTATCCACATGTTATTTCCCTTCTATAGTCCTGTCCAACTTTCCTTGTGTAACAGCCCATCTCCCGGTATCTCCTCCGTGCTATTGAGATTGTGCTAGGAGACACACCACACCTTCCGGTGGCACGTATTGAATTGCCATCCTGGAGGAGCTGGACTACCTGTGCAACCTGATTGGGTTGCAGGGACTGCCACATTGTAGTAATAATGAGAAGTAGTGAGAAGGACCCTAACAAAATGCAAACCTGGAGACAGATCTGTCAGGAAGGATAAGTAGAGAGCAATTGTTTGACCACCTCCTGCAAAACCATTCTTTTTTGGGGGGTTGTCTTGCTGTTTCCTCTCCAGTGTACCTGTTGTTACTTTCATTTGCACCAAAGCAGGTAAAACGTATACACAAGCACTTATGCTTCTTAACCGGAAAGTTTAACTGACTTGGTGGTATACTTTGATGATTAAGTGTTACCTTAATTTTTTGAGCAGTATAGTTGGGTCATACCGTGTCAACTTTAAAACTAAACTAAAACTAAAATTTTTGTTAATATATTGCTCCAGCAGTAAATTGTTAAATTGTACACATTTTCAGGGGTCAAAAACCAAATGGGGATCACGTTGTATACAGATGAGTAATGTCTGAAGAACAAATAATGTAGCATGTGAATGGAGCCTTAATGGGTGTTTTCTTTACAGACTCGTCATGTAAAGTTGATGTTTAAAAAGTTAAAGTCTATGTAAAGCAATATTAAATAAATGTGTTCTGAGTTTGTCACAGCACAGAAAAATGTGTTAAGCACCTAGCCAAATTTGAATGTTAAAAAAATAAATAAAATAAGTTATAAAAATCTTGAAAAAATAAGCAGTATTCTCTGCTCTCAAGTTTGTAAAACTATCCAGTGTAAAATGTTCTCTGCAGAGTGTAGTGAATTTGCTTTCGCCAACCTAGGGAGGCGAAATAGTGATGGGTGATGAGTACTCATGTCACCAATGATGTTATGATTTTTGGATCACGTGTCACTTAAGGTGGGGTTATGAGTACATCACATAAGAAAGATTGGTGGGATCTCTAACTTGTAGAACCTCTTACTGTATCATCAACACAAGGAAGACACAAGTGTAATAAAATACATTTATTAACAAAAGATGGACAAGAGTAATCGACAACTACTAAATAAATAAGAACCATGAATAAAAAATAAATAAAGTGCATAAGATGTATAAAATGCAAGTGATTATGTTGGGTGTTGCTATGTCAGAGCTATGTTATCTGGAAAGATAAACTGTTGCTACTCTGAAACAAATAAGGTGAAGAACCTAATTATGCATCAAACAAATACGTGAAAGATTATTTATCAACTACAATCAGCTAATATAATATCTAATGTAAATTAGGCAATCATATACTGATAATATACAACAATGCCAAGGTCTCTGGAAGAGGTTTGGATAAGTGATAATTACATTTTCTGTGGTTGAGTGAGCAGTCCGGTGGTGGCGACTTCATCCACTCTCCTGGAGCACCAAAGGGTCCTAAAATCTGGAACACGCTGATGTGGCTCTGGAGTAGGTGCAGAAGGAAGGTCCTTGCCTGGAACATGCTAAATGTACCTTGAAGTGAAGGTTTCCTCGCCGGAGCTTAACCTTGTTGCAAATGTGTGTATGTCTTCTACCTCTCTGGGCTAGAGACTCAGAACTTGGTCAATCCACATTGTCTCTCTAGGATGGAGACTCAAGGTGTGCTGCATCTGTTGTTGTCTCGCTGGACAAAGACTCTAAACGTAGAATATCTCTCTCCTCACCGGCTGGAGGCTCAGAAAGTGGTCTTATCTGTTGCTGCCTCACAAGCTGGAGACTCAGGACTTGGTATCTGTTATTGCCTCTTCCCGCATGGGCCAGAGGTTCAGAATGTTGATGTTTCTGTTTCTCGGAATGGGAGACTCAGAACGAGTGTATCTGCTTGTGTCTCACCCTTGCAGGACGGAGACTAAGAACGGTGTATCTGCTATTGTCTCTCTGGATGGGACACTCAGAACGGATATCTGTTACAGTCTCTCTGGACGAAAGACTCAGAACTTGTTGATCTGTTAGTGTCCCTTCCCTTTCAGGACTCAAACTCAGAACAAGGAGTGTCTTTTGGAAAGGTATCTTTATCCATTTCCGATGAGGAGGAGATTGCAATTTGCCACTTCTCCATTTCAGTGCTGTGATTGGCTGTTTACATGAAAGTGGGGGAACATGGTGTGGCCCACCCTTCTTTCCTCCTCTAGAAGTTATTTGCATAGTCCAAACACAAATTTAGAAAACTGTCACTAAAGTTTTACTATGTGCATTTTTCACTTACCAAATCACAACCAGAAACATTAAGTCCAAACATGATGGAAAAAGATTGAACTGTCATGCATGCATTCATTTGTCCATTAGCAGCTGAGTTTGTGTAAGATGTTACATTACACATTGCTGTCACTGAGAATACTTATTTCTCTGAATAAGTATAAGATGTGTATGTTTTAGTTTGCATCAATTTAAGGTTTGAGAACATAGATATGAATGGATTTGGGTGTAACTCTGTGATCTCTCTGTTTCACCCACTGTTGCTGCGTCCAGAGGTCCTAAGGAATTTTTATGGAGGTCACCGGCTAAAACTTTAGGAATCAGTCTGTTGGTGGGTGAAGCGCAGAAACTGCATTTTGACCAATGAGAAGTCCTGTCCTTCCCGGGCTTTGTAACAAAGGTTGTCCTCCTGCCCTCTAAGAGGTATAAGGCTGTTGTCCTGGCATCTTTATCTGGTGGAGTTGGACAGTTTGCTTATGTTAATCCACCAAGATCCAATCAAAATGTAACAAACCTTTGTCCACTATTGTGGTCAGAGAGGGGCCCTGCCATAAACTGGGCCCTGGAATGTGCTGTTCACTACAAAAGGCGGGTTTTGGTGGTGATCCTTAGCTCTACATCAAGGTGGCTCTTCACAAAATTTAATCCACCTCTTCTTGATATCATCATTTTTTAGGAAATGTAAATAAGGAGACCGAGCTGTTTTGTAAATGATCACAACCAAGTAATATGCATTTATGTGATGAAGGCATAGCTAGCAAGCAAACTGTAGGCTGTAGTAACTAATGGTAATGATAGTAACTCGCGCTTGAGCAGGTGAACCACTGATGCTAATGTGCTCTAGTTATTATAGTGTTAGGGGAGGCGTCATCAAGAAAAAGGCCATCGTTCAGGCCACCCAAAAAATCCTGAACACAGAAATGGTGAAAAACTTTTTAACGGTCTAACGCCACAATTCAGTACTACGTAGTTCACAGTCTTTGTAACACATTTTCAGCAATACATTTCTAACATTTATGATGGGATTAGAAACAAATCTCTGAATTGCCTTTTACATGGACTTTAAAGTTATGACTGTTTTGTCTTGTTCCCAGTTGTTGATGTGTGGTACAGGAGATATTAACGTGCAGGACTTTAAAGCTCATGCTGTAATTGTTGGAGGGTCATGGCACTTCAGAGAAAAGGTAAGTGACTTAATGTTAAATATAGTTCATCCTTTTTTCAAGGTATGCACTTAACATAGGTTTATACAGAAATAGGGTTGGGTACCGTTCACATTTTAACCGGTACAGTATCGGTACCTGGATTTTGGTGCCAGTACCTTTTTTCAGTACTTTACTCTCTGTGTAATTACAAAAACATTTATTTCACTGAAAAAAATAAGTCCAAAAGTCTCGATTTCAACATTTTGAAAAATAGGGCTCTACAAACCCCCCCCCCCCAAATTAAATCGGGAAAATCGGCCAGCCCTATTATATTTATATTTATTTATTTATTCGTTTTATTTTTTTAGGGCTGTCAAAATGTTGATTAGAGTATTAAAAACTTGAAAAGTATTAAATTAAGGTACGTTTAGAACAGATAAAAATGTGCAATTAAGTTGCGATTAATCACAAGTTAACTCATGACAATCATGCGATTAATAGCAATTAAATATTTTAATCGATTGACAGCATATTGACATATATATATATATATATATATACAGTGCCTTGCGAAAGCATTCATACCCCTTCATTTTTTTCACGTTTTATGTTGATGCCTTATGTTAAACTGCTTTAAATGACTTTTTTTCCCACATCAATCTACACTCCATACACCATACTGACAAAGCAAAAACAGAATTGTCACAACTTTGTAAATTTATTACAAATAAAAAAACTGAATTAAGTATTCATACCCTTAACTAAATATTTAGCTGAAGCACCTCTACAGCCTCAAATCTTTTTGGGTATGATGCGACAAGCTTTGCACATCAGCATTTGGCAGTTATCTGCCATTCTTCTCCTCGCCTCTTCACCTCTCAATCTCTGTCAGGTTGGATGGGGGCAGACGCATATTTTCAGGTTTCTCCAGAAATATTTGATTGGGTTCAATCCCAGGCTGTGGCTGGGCCACTCAAGGACATTCACAAAGTTGTCTATAAGCCACTCTTGTAGTGTGCTTAGGGTCATAGTCCTGTTGGAAGGTGAACATTCTGCCCAGTCTGAGGTTCTGAATGTTCTGGACTGGGGTTTCTTTAAGGATATCTCTATATTTTGGTGCATTGAGCTTTTCTTTCTACTTTCTACTCTGACGAGTCCCTCACTCCCTGCCGCTGAAAAACAGCCCCACAGCATGAGGCTGCTACCACCACACTTTACTTTTGGATGCTACTCTGCAGGTGATGAGCAGAGCTGGTTTCCTTCAAACATGATGTTTGGAATTGAGGTTCATCAGATCAGACTATATTGTTTCTCACAGTCTGAGGGTCCTTTAGGTGCTTTTTTGCAAATTCCATGTGTGTTTTCATGTGTCTTAACTGAAGAGAGTAATGAGTTTGGCCACACCGCCATAAAGCCCAGATCAGTGGAGTGTTGCAGTGATGTTTGTCCTTCTGTAGGTTTCTCCCATGTGCATATATGATCATGGAGCTCAACTAGAGTGACCATCAGGTTCTTGGTCACCAGTGTAGACAAGGCCCTTCTCTATCAGTTGCTCAGTTTGGCCATGAGGCCAGCTCTAGGAAGAGTCCTGGTTGTTTCAAACTTCTTCCATTAAGGGTAACGGAGACTACATGCTTCTGTGACCCTTCAATGAAGCAGAACTTTTTTCTGAACTCTTCCCCAGATGTGTAGCTTGACGCAAACCTGTTTCTGAGCTCTACAGGCAGTTCTTTTGACCTCAGGGCTTGGTTTTTGCTCTGATATGCCCTAACCTGTTAGAACTTTTATTAAGACGTGTGTGCCTTTGCAAATCATACTCATTCAATTGAATTAGCCACAGGTTAACTTCACTCGAAGTGTAGTAACATCTACAAGCAATATGAATGCTCCTGATGTAAATTTCAACTGTCCCAGATAAGGGTATGAGTACTTATGCAGTGGAATCATTTAAGTTTTTTATTTGTAATAAATTTGCACATATGTTAAAAACCTGTTTTTTGCATTACCATTTTGGTGTATGGAGTGTAGACTGATGTGGGAAAAAAGTCATTTAAAGCAGTTTAACATAAGGCAGCAACTTTTACATTTACGTTTAGTCACTTAGCAGACGCTTTTATCCAAAGTGACTTACAAATGAGGACAATAGAAGCAATCAAAACTAACAAAAAAGAGCAACAATATTTAAGTGCAAATGACAAGTCTTGGTTAGCCTAACGCAGTACACATTGTATGGTATTATATATATATATATACACACACACACAAAGAAAAACAAGTAGATAGAATATAAAAAAATAGAAAGCTAGTGTTAGAAAAATAGAAAGCACTGTGTGTATATGTTAGTGAGCACTTCTCCTTTGCCGAGATAATCCATCAACCTCACAGGTCTGGCATATCAAGATGCTGATTAGACAGCATGATTATTGCACAGGTGTGCCTTAGGCTGGCCACAATAAAAGGCCACTCTAAAATCTGCAGTTTTATCACACAGCACAATGCCACAGATGTCGCAAGTTTTGAGGAAGCGTGCAATTGGCATGCTGACTGCAGGAATGTCCACCAGAGCTGTTGCCCGTGAATTGAATGTTCATTTCATTACCATAAGCCGTCTCCAAAGGCATTTCAAAGAATTTGGCAGTACAACCAACTCACAACCGCAGACCACATGTAACCACACCAGCCCAGGACCTCCACATCCAGCAATCGGTTTGCATAACCAAAGAATTTCTGCACAAACTGTCAGAAACGTCTCAGGGAAGCTCATCTGCATGCTCGTTGTCCTCATCGGGGTCTCAACCTGACTGCAGTTCGTAGTCGTAACCGACTTGAGTGGGCAAATGCTCACATTCGATGGCATCTGGCACTTTGGAGAGGTACACGGATGAATCCCGTTTTCACTGTACAGGGCAGATGGCAAACAGCGTGTATGGCGTCGTGTGGGTGAGCGGTTTGCTGATGTCAACGCTGTGGATCGAGTGGCCCATAGTGGCGGTGGGGTTATGGTATGGGCAGGCGTATGTTATGGACCACGAACATGGGTGCATTTTATTGATGGCATTTTGAATGCACAGAGATACCGTGACGAGATCCTGAGGCCCATTGTTGTGCCATTCATCCAAGACCATCACCTCATGTTGCAGCAAGATAATGCATGGCCCCATGTTGCAAGGATCTGTACACAATTCCTGGAAGCTGAAAACATACCGTGTCTAGATCCTGAGGCCCATTGTTGTGCCATTCATCCACGACCATCACCTCATGTTGCAGCATGATAATGCACGGCCCATTTTGCAAGGATCTGTACACAATTCCTGGAAGCTGAAAACAGTTCTTCCATGGCCAGCATACTCACCGGACATGTCACCCATTGAGCATGCTTGGGATGCTCTGGATCGGCGTATACGAGAGCGTGTTCTAGTTCCTGCCATTATCCAGCAACTTCGCACAGCCATTGAAGAGGAGTGGACCAACATTCCACAGGCCACAATCAACAACCTGATCAACTCTATGTGAAGGAGATGTGTTGCACTGCGTGAGGCAAATGGTGGTCACACCAGATACTGACTGGTTTTCGGACCCCCCTGGACCCCCAATACAGTAAAACTGCACATTTTAGAGTGGCCTTTTATTGTTGCTAGCCTAAGGCACACCTGTGCAATAATCATGCTGTCTAATCAGCATCTTGATATGCCACACCTGTGAGGTGGATGGAATGAGAATATTCAAATGCAAAGATTTTTTCCCCCTAAAAATATAGAAAGATTTCTATCAAACGATACCAACCTTTTGACTCTCCTTCCTACAGTCTTTGAGTTATGAGTCATTATTTTTGTGTATGTCACTCAGAAATAAAATCAACTTCAGTGAGGCAAAAATGCCCTCAGGACTTAAAGGGTTAAATAAAACCGAGAATATGAGCTCTTATCATCCGCTTTGTCATTTATTTTTTTTAACACCATATGTGACATATTTTCTCTCACACATACATCTGCTTATCTCTCAGCATGAGAAAACGTCTGTTTTCCGTCTTTTAGTTTTAAAACAGACCAATTCGCGGCACTTTGCAAGCTTTATTACATTGTAAACTGATGGACATACAGAATCATACCTGAAACAGAAAACTCCTCACTTCGGAAACTGTAGGCTTCCACACAGACGCACACACACATCAACATATCTCTGCATGAGAAGAGTTTATTAGAAGGAGGGGGGGTGTCTCAAAATTAAAGATGAAAGATGCAACATAATGCCAGCAGGGGTTAAATAATTAAATAAATAAATAACAAACAGTTAAAGCTGCAGTCCGTATGTTTTGCCTCTTTGTCGCCATCTCTGTTTGAAAACCTGCAATTGCAGCTGTCTGCGGAATTATCTTTCTTGCGTGGATTGTGCTCCAGCACGGATGAATATAATCTTTTGAGGAGTATGTGTGTGTGGCAGTCAGTCACCGCACCGGTGTGGATATTCACCATACTTCGCAATCACAGATTCTAGCCTACGTCTTGGAATATATGACCCAAATAAGAATTTTCACCATTTCCATCTGAACAAGTAACAAGTCTGTCACGTTTGTTCTGACCAACTGAGGAAAAAAGCATTACAATAAATCACGCTACCAATGCTGATTAAATCTAAATGAGCTCATATCACATCAAACCCTGCAAATTATTATTGTTATATTTTATTCTCAAATTATTAATGTTAACAACATCAGCATTGCCTGTATTAGCGTGTAGATTTCACTTTCTGTACAGTCTAATCTCTAATTGTCATACCATTCGAATTTTATATTAAGAAATTATTTTAACCCAAAAAGCAAATTTATGCTCGCTTCGAAGTGGTTGTCTTTAAAATACAGATCTTGTGGTAGTCCCAGGCTATCTGTAATCAGAAGCACATTTAAAACCGGAATATAATTTACAATCCGCCATCAAAATGATAAATTTAATTATTCTAGCTGCTGTGAGAAAAGGCTATAAACGATCCACCGGCAGGATCCTCACATGCGATAGCCTAGTAGCCGGGACAACTTCTTTATGTTTACTAATGTGACGTAATGACGCAGTGGCATGCTCGAATTTCCTGCGAAAACCTACCCGTACCACTAAATTAGAAACATTATTATAAGCTAACCGTTGTGAATCGGGCAAAAGTAAGGCGGTAGTTTTGAACACTGGCTTGTTATGTACTTGCTCAAATGCTGATTTCGGATCATTTTTAACCCAAAAAAATTACGGACTGCAGCTTTAATTCTGCCGAAATACATAATAAATGAAACCGTTTTGATGTTATATTATTGATTGCTTATGTTGCTAAGGGTGTTGCTCAGTGATTCACAGAACCGTTGGGTGAAGCGGTCATAGCCGTGCTGTATCGTGACTAAAACACAGCTGCTGACCAAACAGAATCGAACTAACCGTTTTATATATATATATATATATATATATATATATATATATACATGCATTTTCTTCTTTTAGAACAAGGAGGTCAAATTGACAGATGGAGGTTATCAAATTCTTCACAGAGATGGGGGAGTGGACATTCCTTACCAAATCTTGATAAGAGGAATATACATGGTCATTGAGGCAAATAATGGACTAATTGTCATGTGGGACCAGAGGGCAAATATGTTCATCAAA